GAGAGAGCGAGCGAGAGACACGCAAACTCCACATATACAGCAGGCGTCCAAAAGTCGGGATGGAACCCACGACATCCTGTATACCAGGCGAGGTAGTTGACACCTCGTCATTCTGTAACCACCCCACCTTGGGACGTTTCTAGACCCCCCTTTGGCGATGAACGTTGTTGTTTTAGTTTATAAATATATACAAACGCACTGATGATGATGAAGAAAGCAGGCGGTGCTGACTTACATGCGTGCTTGTGTGTGACACAACCACGGCTGGGGGGGGGGAGCACGTGGTGGGGGGGGGGACTGATGCCAAACGCCAGGAGGCAGCTGCTATTGTTGCCAGCTATTTAAAACACCCGCCCGCCTGATTACATTCTCGGAAGCGTCTATGCAACTTTGTGAATCTCACGGCAAATTATAAATTACGCAAAGTACCAAAATACACACGCGCGCGCGCAGGCGAGCGATGGAAAATAAAAATGAAATCTGGATTAATTAACACTGCCCTGAATGTTGGGTATGTAACGTTGACCTTCTTTCGCACCGTAAGTAGCCAACCGTGCAATGAATCCTTAACTTGCCGAGTACAACGTCGCATATCCGACTCGCTGGCAACTGCGAGGCGAGTCGGATTTGCGAATAGTCGGATTTATGAACTGCTTTTACAGAATAAGTGAACTCCACGCACAAATAAATGGGTCAGTGGACAAAAACAAAATGACGCACGCATTCATTTAAAACGGTGTGGGGGGGGGGGGGGTGCTTGACCATTCATTATAAGTCGGCGACTTTACGTGACATTAAGAAGAACTAAGTGGCTGTGTGTTGAGGTCGGATGTTGGATTCGGGCTCACGGTGTTGCCAACACGAGGTCACGATTATTCCTGAAGCGGTCGTGGGCCCCCCCCCCCAGGCCGACTCGGCCTCAAATGAGTACCTGGTGCGGTGTGTAGTAAACATCGCCACTGGGGGAAACAAAGGCGGCCGGGCGTGGTGCTGGCCACCCGCCCCGATCGTGCGCCGAACCGATCTTAATAGGTGCGACTCGCCAAACAGCACTTGCCCCAGCAGTGTGTTAAGGCTATACGGGGGATCTTTGTCTTTGTGTGAACATTTCGAGAGAGAGTGACTGTGTACACCATGGCCCCCCACAGAGAGAGTGGGGGGCTGTTTGAGCGGTTTTTGGGTTGGCCCCAGTATTGCATGCGGGACGACTTCGTTTCTTGACCTGCCCATCTCATTTACGCAACTTATGCGCGATTTAGACAACGCTGGTTCGATAGAGAGAACTAAAACAATGAGAGAAGACTGAAAAGTGTGCAAAGAAGCTACGATGGGTGCTCTGCGTAGAATTGCAGTGGCGCAGGGAAGAAATTAAGGGGAGCGATACGCAAATCAGAAACGTATTTAGAGTTATTTTTAAAAAAGAGTAGGCATTATCCTTTCGGCAAAATAATACAGGAGGTGTTAAGATGATTAAACACAAAACAGACGGCTATTAGCTGCATTAACCACACACGCTTGTGGTAAAACATCCAAACAAACATGCTCTTGTCCGAGCTATTGATGCTTTGATATTTGCATTTACTTTGTGCCGTTCGCCTTTTAGCGTTGTTCTCCGGTCCAACACGGCCGGCGGTAAAGTCACGTAGGTAGAAAAATAAAATAAAATAAAAAATAGAATATATCACGACGTTTCGATCGCAACACAAGCGGCCGTCCTCAGGCGGAGAAAAATAATCTGCCTGAGGACGACCGCTTGTGTTGCGATCGAAACGTCGTGATATATTCTATTTTATTTTTCTACCGACGTGACTTTACCGAAAGAACCAAAGAGTATGGAAAGCTTCCAATCAAGATTAAAGCACGTTTGTTTGCATGCTTTACCGCAAACTCGATGTGCGGTGAATGCAGCCTTGATTCCTTTGCAATACGCGTGTTTATTTGTGGGATCGATAGCTATGGAAATTTGGTGGATTCGGACCCAACGAATCGTGGCTAAAAGGGATGTCCGATGGATAAGACGAGCAATGGAATGCCAGCCAGAGGACACAATGGACTGCATGCTTTAAACTAAACTGTTTTTATTTTACTGTACAAGAAGCGACCTGACCACAAATGATAGCTCAACTAAGTGGCTTATCACGTGGAAAAGTATAGCAGACAAATACTCTAAACGCGTGGATTTTGATTCTAAATGTGGAGTGAAAAACCGGAGGACACGGAAAAAATTCCGCGCGACCCCAGGGAGCGAGCGAGACACGCAAACTCCAAATATACAGCAGCAGGCGTCAGGGTCGGGATCGAACCCACGACCATCCTGTATACCAAGCGAGGTAGTTAACATCTCCTAGCCACGGTGGCACTTAACTGCCATTGACATAGGATGTCCCCTAATACGAGTTAGATACATGGTATGTGGACGATGTGTCGTCCGAACAGTTGAACCGATCATTATTTTTATCAGTAGTTGACTATAAATGATCTGGCATCCCATCTCTACTCTCAAGCCAAATCAAATCGATAAACGATGAGAACATTTCATGAGAATAATAACAACAGAATAACAAGTGGAGGCTGGAAAACCACACGTTTAAAACAGGACGCAAAAATGTGTACGTCCGCGCGCACATCGTTTGTGCATAAGCTTTCACAACAACAACGAACAAACAAACAAGAGAAAACAACCCATCAGCATTTTCCCGAAGAATACGCATTGTGATCTCATCTTGTGGCCACCATCAAAATGAATTGGAGCAAATGTGTGACCGACTGACAGCGGCTGTCTCGAGCAAAGTGATGGATCATGGAAGATGTGACGTGGATGGAACAAAGCCCATCCACTGCCCCCCCCCCACCCACCTCTACCCGTTCCTCTCGCCATCCCTGGGGGTATTACGGAGGTCCAGAAATGTAAATAACACACGAGCGCGCACGAATCGCAACAAATCGCCGGGCGCACTTCCTACAAACATTCCTTGAAATACAAGTGACCACAGGGGCCAGGGCCCCGACAAGGACAGCTGAGTGCCCTGCGTTCCCGTTCATTCCACCGTGTGCATTCCGTGGCTTCGTTTATACATATTGACAATGTGTGCGTGCGTGCGTGTGAGCGGGTGACTGCGTGGGGAGCGGTGGTGTAGCGGTTAGCGCGCTGCGCTACGAACCCGGCCACCCGAGTTCGATTCCCGCTCACGGCAACCAACACGAGTGGCGATTATTTGAACCGGTCCTGGGCCCTCCTTCTAGGTCGGCTCAGCCTAAAATGAGTAGCTGGTGCGGTGTGTGAACGTCAGCACTTGGGAAGACAGAGGCGGCCGGGCGTGGTGCTGGCCACCCACCCCATCATGTGCCGTGCCAGCCTTCATTGGTGTTCGCGAACAGCACTTGCCCCAACGGTCTGTTAAACACTATACGGGGGATCTTTGTCTTTGGATTTGACCGTGCGTGTTTGTTTTGCGTGGTATTTGTGGTCATGCGCGTGTACATTGAGTGTGGCCGATAGCGAATTCTCCCGGTATGTCACCTAATCTCTGTCAGGTCTCAGAAGTATAACGCATTGTTCGTACTGGACAATGTTTGAATTTTGGGATATATTTGTAGGCTGCCCGTGACTAACGTGGTGGGGACATTCTGAGTAATTTAGCCGTGAGCAAAAATATCTAATTCTAAATTTGAAGCTTTCGTGACTGCAAGGATTCATATTCTTAGGTTTTTTCGGTAAAGTCACGTAGGTAAAAAATTTAAATTAATTAAAGTATAATAAACAAAATTAAAAATCACGACGTTTCGGAAGCAACACAAGCCTCCGTCTTCAGGTGGAACCGTCACAGCCACGACAGCTGTACCTGAAGACGGAGGCTTGTGTTGCTTCCGAAACGTCGTGATTTTTTATTTTGTTTTATTTTACTTTTATTAATCAAATTTTTTTACCTACGTGACTTTACCGAAAAAACCTAAGAATACAAAAATATCTAAGTGTATATATATATACACACTTATAGTTAGCGACTTTTTGATGCCATTAGTTGGCTCGTGTTCATATCAGAGTTTATAACGTTTTATATACTGTTGTGAAATGTACAACTATTATACACGTGGCATGTTACTGCGCGCATTCGTGAAGTTCTAAATTTGTTCACGTTGAGCGATTTCTTTTAAATCCGCTGTTTGTGACAAATGTTGCGAGATTGCGCGCAACAATGCACGTCACTGGCGGCGATCAAAGCAGTGGCGGAGGCGATGGTGCTCGTGGTCATGGATGGTCCTCAGTCCTGGGACTCCCCTAGGTCGACTCAGCCTCGGATTAGCACCTGGCTACGATGTATAAATATCAGCGCTAGGGAGACAAAGGCGGCCGGGTGTGATGCTGGCCACCCAAACCACTCGCGTACCTGGTCAGCCTTCATAGGTGCTACTCGCTTGGTGGCAATGACAATGGTATGTTCCTGATGGTGGTGCCAATGGTGGCAGTGACGGTGGCCGCGTTGCCGGTGTCATAGGCGCAGGGTGACAACACCAGGGTAGCGAGCGATGGAACAATATTTGAGAGAGCAGACACAGGGATTTGTTTGTTTAATAAATAAATCGACGTCCACGTGCCACACGCACCATGCGATGCCTTCTGCCCTCCCTTGCCCATGAGCCAACGTGCAACTCTGCAACTCTACACGAGAACCACCCGCGTTTAGACCTCGCTGCCAAGCCAGTGTCTGATTTCCAGGCAAGAATTTTGCTTCGTTGGGCATTTAAAAAAAAAGTGTTCTAACCTCTCATCAACCATGTCCCCACTTACCTCCCCACCTCACCATTGCCGTGAGCAGCCCCCCCTCTTTACCCCCAACTCCTTCCCGGCCCCCTGGCCCCATCCACCTCTTACCCCTCCCCCCTCTACCCACCCACTCCCCCGTCCTGCCCCCACCCCACCCCCACCCCTGATATTTTTATGTACGCGGTTATTTATTTATTTACTTATTTAAAACTGCCCAAACAGCTGTGCCAAGCAGGCGCGAATTGAGTCAGCTGTACCAAGTGGGATGGATGGAGACAGGAGGCTGCGCATCCCCCCGTATCTTCTGCTCGCACTTTTCGACGGCGTGCCGAGAGCCGGCGGGGAGCGGCGGGGAACGGGATGACAAACTGAGAGCGCGCGCAGGGAAGACGCAGAGGCCGTCAAGAGCCGCCACCGCCACCGCCGACGACACCGCCACGAGAAATATTCGACGCGGCGCAATTTCTCGCCGTTCAAATTTTCGCGGATAAATTAACGCGCGCGTCATTTTTTTTTTTTTTGGCCGCTCTCGCTCGGCCCGCCCGCTCGCGACCTGGGCCGGTGTGACAATTATTCTGTTTTTTCTCGACGGTCGGCAAGGCGTAGGGCTGCTGGGGGAGGAGGGGGGGGGGAACTTTTAACGGGACAAAAAACCCTCGGTAAAAAAACGTCCGTATCTCAACAAGGCACTTCTCCGTTGGACATCCGCGAATTTTTTTTTGACTCCGGCAAGGTGGCCCAGAAAGCGCGAGGCGGATCGCAGCGGAGGCTGTGGCAGGCGTCGTTCGGAAGACGCCACACGTGTCCCCTAGGTGAGGTGTCTTCTTCTCTCGCTCTCTCCTACCTCGCTCTCTCTCCTATCATGCGTAGCATGTCCTCTGCGCGTGTCGCTTCTGAGGTTCTGTGGGCACCAGGGCTCTCAGGAGCTGTACCTGAGCGCGTTCGATGCTTCTGCCTCTCCCTCAATGTCTCGCTGCCTGCCTGCACGTCCGTTTGCGCGCCTCTCCGTGAGTTTGCTCTTCCCGTCCGGCTCAGCCAATGCTGTTTCGCAACTTGGTGCAATCGGCAGAACCGTCAAGAGTGCCTGCCCGTGACTAGATTGACGCGCTTCGCTCGTCTCGTCCCTTTCCGCACGAACACAGTTCTGGGGGTTTTGATGGCAAAGAGCGTCGTAGTTCTTGTGTTCTTGATTTTTTAAATCTCTTTTAATTCCCCCCCCCCGCCCTGCCCGCCCCCCCCCCCCCCACCTTTCCCTGCTGGTTTTGCCCGGCGAGTGCCAGGAGCGCAAAGTTTCATTCTCGCGTGAGCCACGCGCCGGTTCTTGTTGCCACGCTCGCTTCGTGTTCGCGACGATCGTCACGTGGACGCGATGTGAGCGCTGGAGAACATTGGGCCGATGTTGAGCGAGCGCCGCTTTGATTTACTGAATAGGCACCAAAAACACATCGTGACCCTGGTCAACGTCCGAGCCAGCGTGAAGAACGGCGCGTTGCAACGCAGCCGCAGTTTTAGCGCAATTACAACGAAGAATAAATCATCATTGTTGCGTAGAAGTTCGTGCACCACGCGGCAGATTCCCCCAATGCCACCCCCCACCCCCTGAGTTTGATTCCTGGCCTTGGTTGACGGAGTGATATCTGAACCGCTCCCTCTGGTCACCCAACCCCCTTCACCAACCCTGCACTGACCATGTGGTCAGGCACCAAACACGATCGACACAGCATGGGGGACGCCTTCATCCAGCAGTGGATTGACAAAAATGGTGTAATAATTGGTTTTTTTACCCTTTTATCTGGCAACAAAACTGACACCTTTTTTACAAGCAATCATGTTTGCATAGACCACAATAGCTGCAGTCATAATGCAAACAAAAATAATGTTATGTTTTTCTCCTTGTAAAAAACGTGTCAGTTTTGTTGCCAGATAAAAGGGTAAAAAACAATTATCATATTTTTTACTGGCAAATGAGGTTCCATTATATTATGGTGTATATTATTTTTTATTTAAATTTAACATCCGCATTTTCTTTTTCACAGAGCCAGCAACATTATCAGTTATTTGCCTGTGCACGGGCCATCAAAATGGGCAATATTTTTTTTCATGACTAATTAAAAAATATATATTTTATATGAAAGACTGAAAAGCCAGTGTGACCGTTTGTCATGGGTAACGGTACTGAAATCTAGCGAAAAAAAATAGACTTTTCAAGAAAGAAAAACACACAAATGATCGGTTTTAACCCGCACAAAAACACACCCCGTGCCAAATTAGCGAGAGCACAGTAAGCTCATCATCTAATCTCACGGTAGCGGATAACGTTGCAGCCCTGCCTGGACTTGCTCAGGCCGCTGTTGGCAGAGGAGCCTCCACTTGACAGAGCTCGAGACTGCCACTCGAGGGGGCACTTTGGCCAACTCTTCCACACTGCCCAAACAACTGGCATCTAAACTATAAACTTTTATTTTATTTGACCAGGAACACAAATGATAGCCCAAATGAAGTGGCTTACCATGCAAAAGTGTATACCAGCCAAATACTCTAAACGCATGTTTCTAAAAACCAGAGCAACCGGGAAAAAAATCTACGCGACCACAGGGAGAGAGAGACACGCCAACTCTAAATATACAACATGCATCAGAGTCGGGATCGGGATCGAACCCACGACCTCCTGTATACCAGGCAAAGTAGTTAACATCTCACCACCGCAATAGGTAGCTATACCCACACTTTTAATCTTTTTTACCCGCACCACTACACGTGATCTGCCCATCGACGAACCGCGTGATGCGTTAATGGGGTACCACCGGAGTCAGTTGATCGGAAGAAGGGTGGAACAGGATTCTTGACAAACTTGCATCAAATGTTTCGGCTTCCGCGCCGGGAGATCGCGTCGCGAGTCCGGTTTACCATCACACCGCTGCAGCGGCCGGCGGCAGCGGCGGCGGCGGCGGCAGCGTAGCTCCGATCACATGGAAAGACTAAAAATGCGCGCGCGCTGCCAGCATTGTGAGAACAAGTTGTGTGGCCCCTACGATTAATGTGCGTCACGCCCGTTGTATTTGTGTCCGCTGTCCCAAAGGACACGGCGAAACAGTCACCGCACGGTCCACTGGCGAGCAAAACCCCAAATTTAAATTCGAAACGGCTCCTGCTGTTGTGTCTATCGGCCGCCCGACGGGACGGTCCACGGGCATCGCTTCGCGCCGAGTGCAACGCAGCGGAGTCGCTCGCTCGCGACGCCGCGCTGCCTGGCGCGCTCGCGACACGTCGGCCCCGCTAATCCATGGCCGCCAATAACTTAAAAATGTTTGCTGCCGTTTCCAAGTTCCTGGTGACAGCCCACCAGATGATGGACAAGACGAAGAAGGCAAGCCGGGGAAAGAAGGTCAGCAGGGCCACCTTCTTCGAGGTTGAGATCAAGGATGGCCTCAGCAAGGATCAGCTCTGTTTCATGGACAAGGTACTTGTCAGATTTTTTTTTGGGTCTTTAGGAGGTGCGGGCACAACTCTCGTTGTGTGTTTTTTTTGCTTTGGTGCGATGTTGTTGTTGTTGTTTTTTGTGCGCGAAAGTTTATGACATGCTGCGTCGTCGCGCTCTCTCCGTTCGGTCGCTTAGAAATGTTGGCAGAAGTCTGCCAATTAGGCCGTGTTGTGTTTGGCAGTGTCACTTTTTTGAAAATGCAAGCAAAAAATTGGGTTCGGAGTGATTTTGCTACTTTTGTTGTGTCGCAGAAATGTTTAGAGGGATAAAATAAAATAAAAATAACTTACAAACAAAACTTTAAGTGTGCGTTTCTAGTCTCACGGTCACCTACATTCTCCAATAAGCAAAATACGGCCCAAACAGTATGAAGTTTGCTGAAGAAAGTAAAACTCGGTACTAAAGTTTAAATGCAATAGTGCAGTCGCATCCACATCCTAGTGGCGCCTTGGCTTCGGCATTGCATGATGAAGCCTCCCGATAATGCAATTTCCATGTTCTTCCGTTTGATTAATGAGCTTAATAACTGTCCCTCCGACCAGCAGAGGCCGTCTAATGCAAACCGAGGGTCGATTGCCAACATGGTCAGGTCACGTTCAAAAATAACTTTCAATTTGCAAGGCCAATGAGAGCCAACTTTATTGGATTTTTTTCAAAATCTCCTGCTTATATAAACGTTTTTTTCTTCTCTTTAATTGTCATCGTGGGCTGCTGCAAATTATAATTGAATCGCACCTTCTCATCACGGGCCCTGTCAATCAAAGTGCCCAGCCCGGGACGTTTTGGCAGATTTTGTGAATGGGCCATCCGCCAGAGTCCATGAATCAATTGAGTGGTGAGTGCCTCCTGGTTGCTGTTCGCACACATCACGGCTCAAAAGGCCAAGTGGCCAGCAACGAACAGCACCGTCGAAGTTGTAGAAGATAAGTGGTCGATACTTTTGTTGCTTTAGGAGCAAGGTTCGAAGACATTTGGGGGGGGGAGTGGGGGGAGACAGACGACGATGATGTAAGCGATTCCAAAGTCGATGCCAGTGTAAGGGAAGGCACGGGAAGAGAAAAGTTCTTGACCTGCGGTGTTGTGGTTTAATGCAGTGCGGATGAGTTGACCCATTCAGTCTGTTCGACTGAGTTCTCAAAATGTACATCATCTGGTCGAGCACCAATTGAGACGAGGCTCAAAAGAAAGCTGTCTCTGGTGTGGACCAATCAGTTTCAAGGACAATGCATATATTATCAGTGTGGTTTTTGTTTGCATTTCAACTGCAAGTATTGTGGTTAATGCAGACATGAATCCTAGTAAAAAAAGGTTTCAGTTTTGTTGCCAGAAAAAAAGGGGAAAACCCCTATTATTATGGGTGGAAGAATCGATGAGTTAAGATCAGGGGGACGGTAACCGTGTGGTAGTAGCGATAGAAGAGCGACATGGAGGTGCCTGTCTGAAGCGACCTGGCCACAAATGATAGCTCAAAGAAGTGGCTTATCACGTGGAAATGTATACGCAACCACGGGGAGAGAGAGAGAGAGAGAAACATGCAAACTCCAAATAGACAGGCGTCGGAGTCGAACCCACGACCTCCTGCATCCCAAGCGAAGTAGTTAAGATCTCGCCACCGTGGCACCCACGCGGACCATCACGGCACATGGGGACGCCTGAATTCAGCAGTGAAATAACAAAGCGCTGCAAATTCATTTAAAAAAAATCCATCTATACATATATGGTGTTTCATCAATGAATTCATTCCTTTACAATCCGGCTCGTGTGCTATATCCCTTCTGTGTTGCGACGTGCAGGTTGAGCCGACGGTCACCGTCGCTGAGCTCAAGGCCATGTTCCAGAAATCCTGTGAGTTGACATCGTCGCGTGCACGTGCGGTGTGGTGCGACGCGGTGTGACGCGGTGTGACGCGCGGTGCGGTGTGACGCGGTGTGACGTGCGGTGTGACGTGGTGTGACGCGCGCTGCGACGCGGTGTGACGTGCGGTGTGGTGTGACTGCGGTGTGACGTGCAGTGTGACGCGGTGTGACGTGGTGTGACGCACGGTGTGGTGTGACGCGGTGTGACGTGCGGTGTGACGCGGTGTGACGTGGTGTGACGCACGGTGTGGTGTGACGCGGTGTGACGTGCGGTGTGACGCGGTGTGACGTGGTGTGATGCGCGGTGTGGTGCGACGCGGTGTGACGCACAGCCCCCAACGCGTTTCGAGTGAAGAGCGATAAATCCGGCGTGTGAGGCGGCCGGTCGTCTACGGTTGGGTGTAGAGTAGAGGCTTGGCGTGCCAAGGTTGGCACGGGCCCTGGCGCTAGCAATTAAATAGATGGGGGGGGGGGGGGGCTCTGTCCAATTGCCCCCCCCCCTCCCCACCACGAAGCTGGGTACTGGGAAGTGTTTAATGTTCAGTGAAGCTTCAGGCCGAGTATCACAACGCCTCGTGAAGTGTAACCCAGTGTCTGGGCCCCCTCCGTGTCTGCCTGCGGGCTCCAGTGCGATCGCACCGCCTGCACACTCGATAGCCACGCCACTGGTTTGGGTTGACTTGTACGTACGTGCGTATGGATATGTCCGTTGAATTTTTTTCGCTCCGTACGTAACCAACCGTGCTTATCAGAGATGCGATTTGGGGCAGGAAGTGGTTGACAGCTGCCTTTATTCGCAAAATGCTTCTCCCAGCCACTGCTGCTCAACTTGGGAGATGTAGGCCCAGTGTTTACATTCCAGAATGCATCGGGTTTTTTTCCCCCTGCACTAAAATTGTGCCTGCCTCTATAACGGTTGCCCCGATAGAATTGACGTCACGTGCTATGGCATTCAAGATATTTATTCGGTGACCTGTTGACCTCAAAGCCATATCCCTATTCCTTTCACTGTGACGGGGCTACGTTGTGGGCAGCAGAGGGCAGGGCAGTAACATCTGCTGTTGTGCTGTACTTCTACGCGTCCACGTCTACGCACACCCACCACCACCAACCCCTATTGACCGGCGTGGTGAAACATGGTCGATTAATTCTCACAAACTACGAGACCCTCATCCCCCAGTGGACATAAAAAAATGACTGCACGTGCACTTCTGGGGAAGTATGGTCAAACAACCCCCATGGCTGACATGGCGTGGGGAGGTCTTCATCCAGCAGCGGATTGACAAATAATAGCAGGGACCGGTCTCTCCAGGGAACCGATCGCTGATGACTCCGGAAAGGAATTGAACCCACAAACCTTCGTTGTGTCAGGAAATGTTTTAACCGTAGAATTGCCACCAACCCCAAAGCGAGATCCTTGTTCAGACTTGGCGAGGCTTCCTTTGCCGGAGGGCAAATCACCTTGAATACACGCGATGCCATCAGATCTCTGAGGTTAAGCAGAGTTGAGCCTGGATGGTAATTGAATGGGGGAGATTCCCCGGGAATGCCAGCTGTATGCTGGCTTGGCTTGCGTGATGCATAGAGAACACATTGTCCTGCGGGGGGAGCTGGTAAGAACGTTGGGTTGCTCGGTCAATGGTCAGGGTCAACGGCGGCGTGGTGTATTCCGCAAATATGGCCGACTGTGAGGGCGGGCACAAGCCGGCGTGAGTAGGTTAAACGTTGAGTTTTATAAGGGCACCACGGGGTGACCAGCCCCTCCCCACCCAGCCCCACCCCTCCCACCCCCCACCCAGCTCCACCCTCCCCACCCAGCACCTCCCCACCCTCCCCACCCAGCCCCTCCCCACCCTCCCCACCCAGCCCCTCCCCTCTCCACCCAACCCCACCCCTCCCATTTTTGGATGCACGACGGACAGACGGACACAATAATCCCCTGTGGGCTGGTGGAACCAGGTATCTACCAGTATAAAATATATATATAAACGTCAGAGCCAAAGTCAACAAATAAGGTTAGATGCGATGTGCCAGACAAAGCACTTTAGCCTTTGATCAAATAATCATGAATGTGCCCGATCAGATCTGAGAAGGTAAGCAGAGCCAAGCCTGGTTAGGATGGGAGACCGCCTGTCAACACAAGGTGTTGTAGACGAGGCCTGCGAGGTGAAACAGTGCCACGGCAATGGGATTCTTGAATCTAGCCGTGTGGAACGTTGAATGTCACATTCTCGAATGCACGTGGATTTTTTTCCGGATTCTAGAGATACGTTCCAAACGGCCAAACATTCACGTGTGGAATTGGCCAAACGTTCCGATGCAGGAGGACTTTCGTGCCAATAAAAAGTGTTGAGGCTCAGTAAGGCGTTTTACTGGTTGAAGAAAGGGCACTTTTAAAGACTCGTAGGTAGTTTTTTTTGGTGGGGTCGTGTAGGTAAAAATTTTAGTGATAACCCTCCACCACCCGACAGAGCCAATCAAATCAAGTTGTCACGTGATGGGGGGAAATATGCCAATGGGTTTGGTTTTCAGCAAAGATCAGTTAACGTTCAAAAGCAAGCAAAATGTTGACAATTGACGGTGGAGGGTTATAGTAAAAAATTGTTTTACATTATACCCAACATAAACTATTTACATATCGTAATATTGATCATGGCATTATTAATATTGGTATCGTAAAAGTAGCCTTAACCCCCAGGTTCTGTTTATTGCCTGGCTTTCCATACAACCGGTGGCACATTTGGTGGGCATCCACGGATAAAATTCGCCACTTTACAAACGTAAATTTTCATTTTATTTTCGAGGCAAAGAGCCGCAGCGGTAGTTTCGTTTTTTCTTTTTTCTCCGTCCCGCTGCGCCATCACTTTACGTCGCTGATGCCCCAAGTACCTTCACCAATTCAGACGTCCGTCGATCGGCGGCACATGCGGTGGGGGGAGAGGGGGTAGACGGGGGCCCTCTGGGTCGGCCGTCTTGCATCACCGGGGCACGAGGCTGCAGGAAACGATAAGTTTAGCCGCCGTCTCTCGTAAGGCCTCGGTGCAACAAGAAAAAAAAAAAGCAATCCCCATAACCCATACAACGACGTGAAAATAAAAATACGCTCAAAAAGCGATCGCTGCCGCTGTATAATTTTTCACGCTACGGTATCGGATTTCACGACGACACCGCGGTTGTTAGGTCATCCTGTAACGTTGTACTCCTTGTATATGACACTTTTTTTTTTTTACTTTGCTTTAATAAGTGATTTACTTGAGTTTGCCGTACGACAAAAATGACAACGCAATGTGATCGCCATGCCGTCAGTCACCCCGGATAACATTTTGTAAAGCGCCATTTAATTGTAAATAGCTTTTTTACAATGCAACTTTCAAACGTGTTCGTTGTTTCTTCAACATTTATTTTGCCGGCAAATAAAACACGGATCAAGATTTAAGCGAGCCACGATAATTATCACGATACGACACTGTTTGGAAAAAAAACGAACGATACGATTACCGTACGGCTTGTATGATGTTACCCATTTTAGTGCATTACGTCAACTCTAAATAGACCTCGAAACAAAAATATAAATGTCAAAAATCTGGAGCGCGCGGTTCTGGGATTACGGGCCTTGGGATTGCGAGTTAAGAGCGGACAATTTTGGATGACTGCACCGCAACAGCTTGCTATATGTGAATGGCTGATCTCAAAGTTAAAGGCGCAGTCCTGCAATTGCTCACTCGGACCACTGCTGGCAAAAGGGCCTCCATTGCTGGCCAGGCGACTTAGAAGAGGTGTGAGGGTCACCCAGACTTTACCCCGACCACACACGATCTACTTGATCGAGTGGCGTAGCCATTCATTAATTCAGCCGTGTGGACAGAGGCGGCCGATGTTAAGAAACCTGCGCTAATTGTTGCTACTGCCGCCGCCGCTAGATCGGATCGGAGCGGTGACTTCTGGGATTGCAAGTCCACATTGCTCTAGCAAAATCTCCAAATTTGGAACGACGACAAAATAAAAATAAACATTTTGAAGCACGCGGTTACGGTAAACTAGAACTATTTAAAATTTTAATTTTACCTGGTAAGGCTCATTGAAATATACAGCTCTTTTTCAGAAGCGACCTGGCCATCACACATGATAGCTCAACGAAGTGGCTCATCACGTGGACATTTAGAGCAGTAAAATACTCTAAAGTCTAAACGAACGTCGATTCTAAATGTGGAGGGTCAAACGGGAGGACCCGGAGAAAAATCCACGCGACCACGGGGAGAGAGACACGCAACTTCCAAACATATAGCAGGCGTCAGGGTGGACATCAAACCCACGACCTGCTGTATACCAGGCGAGATAGTTGCATCCCCTACCACCGTGGCACTGGGACCGTGGATCAGAGTGAACTGTTACTTGCGGTTGGCCGCTCTGCGTGCGGCTATTTGCGAGCAGCTGTTTAACCGGGAGAGAGAGAGAGAGGGGAGGGAAAAAAACCCGCAAAACTGCAGCTCTCAGCTAAATCCTCTGGTGACACGGAAGATGCGAGCGAGGCGGCTGGCGACCTTCAGTGAGGTCTTTGCCGAATGTTGCTGTCAGGTCTGTAGAGAGAGGGAGAGGAGAAAACAGAGTTGTCCGGTTACTGGAAGACAGCGCCCATGTTTATGGAAATAGCTCAACGTCAACAATGACAATGTTTTACAGCAGCCTGTCGATGAATGCACTGCTGGATGAAGGCCTCTTACCCCACGCTTGCCTCCTCCGTGGGATGTTGTTTGTCCACGGGTTTCATCGCCGAAAGATCAACTTCAAGGACAGTGCATATATTATCAGAGTTGTGTTTTTTGTTTGCATTATGGCTGCAGGTATTGTGGTCTATGCAAACATGGCTCCTTGTAAAAAAAAGGTGTCAGTTTTGTTGCCAGATAGAAGGGTAAAAAAAAAAACAATTATCATATTTTTTACTGTCAAATGAGGTTCCAATGGTATAAGCCACGTCGTTGAGATATCATT